AACGAGGATTACACATCTGCCCTCTGGAAGTCAAGCTTTCTAACCCTGTCTCTCTGTCCCCTCCAGCTCCTCCCTCCTAACTAGTAGGCACTGTCCAGGACAAGGCCCCCAGAGCCTTGCTGGACTGCCGCCTTGGGCAGCCTGACCTCCCTGACCTCTCTCCTCCTGCTCCCAGCCCCTTGCCCTGACTCCCACCTCCACCCCTAATCCTAGCTCCTTCTTAGGTCCGGGTGCAGGCCCTCTTACCAGAGCAGTGGGATGGGAGCCACTAACTCCCAGGCTGGACACTGAGGACCTTGGGAGGGGAGTGACGAGGGCATGGGAGGAGGGTGAATCACACACTGGAGTTTTCCACCAAGTACCTGCCCTCTGTGGCTCCCCAGCAAAGCCCTAGACCTTTGCAGCCACTGCCTTCGCCTTGGGATTTTCCTAGAGAAAGCTCCAGAGCCTGCATATCTCAGGAAAGGAAATGCAAATAGGACCCAGGGCACAGCCCACCCACCCTGACTTTCCTCTCCTCCCTTACCATGGTCTCCCAGCCAAGGGAGAGTCTGAGCCCGTTTCCCACTCTGGACAAGGGGGATGATGTGTGGTTTGCAGGGTTGCTGTGAGGGTTAAAGCCAGCATGGCCATGCCTAGGAAATCACAGGTACTTACAGGGAGCTGTCAGGGTTTGCTGCAGCCTCTGGTTGGGGGTTGGGGATCCAGACACTCTGATTCTGGGCAGCACGAAGCCACACACCAAAGGCTCATCTGGAACAGCCTGGCAGCTGTCAAATGTGAATCCACATGGGGAATGTGTGGTCCCCCTCAGCCATGATGGGAGGATTTTCCAAAACAGGGCTCTCTGTGTGTGTGTGTATGTGTGTCTTCACAGTGTGGCTATGAAAAGGCCTGTGGCCTCTGGGAAGATCAAGATGCTTCTTCAGAGGAGGATTTTCCAAAACAGGGCTCTGTGTGTGTGTCTTCACAGTGTGGATATGAAAAGGCCCGTGGCCTCTGGGAAGATCAAGATGCTTCTTCAGTGCCGGGTGATATGGAAACAGGGGAAGTTGTGGGGAGAAAGGGAAATTTCCCTTTACGTGGACTTCCCCTTTGTCTGCTAGAGCTTCCTAGCAGTAGAGGGTGTGAAGTGAGA